GTCTTTTTTTTTTTTTTAGTTTTATTCATTTCAAATGGGCCGGATCCGGTCCGCGGGCCATTGTTTCCCCACGGCTGCGCTACAACCTTTGCTGACTAATTTTGGTGCATGCAGGTCAGAAACTTTCTGAAGAATCTGTGAAAGTGTTCTTATTTAATTTGATTAAGGAAACAGAAAGAAATAAAACCTTTCATTACAGCCCTAACCGGTTTGGCTCAGTGGAGAGAGCGTCGGCCTGTGGACTGAAGGATCCCAGGTTTGATTCCAGTCAAGGGCACATGCCCAGGTTGCAGGCTTGATCACCAGTGGGGGGCATGCAGGAGGAACCAATCAATGATTCTCTCTCATCATTGATGTTTCTAGCTCTCCCTCTCCCTTCTTCTCTGATTTCAATAAAAATATATTTTAGAAAGTACAGGGGGGCAGGGGGCTAGGGGACCAGAAAGGAGGGCAGTCTGTACAAACGTTCCATTTCTTCAATCACAACTATGAAAGCTTGGTTAGGGGTATCCCAGGGAAACCCTGGAGACCCAAGGACAGGGTTCAGTTGAAAGGTAGCCACACAACCAATCAAAATGATCCCCTACTGCCCAGCGGGCTGAGCCAGCAGACAGTGGCCTTAGTCTTGGACCAGCCCACCTGTCACCTGCAGGCGGCCCTTGTTTACCTAACAAGCACCCCTGGGAGGGTCCCTGGGCCACGCCCACAGGGGGCGGGGACTGCACCTGCCCCTGTGCCTGCGCCTGCGCACTGTGCAAGAGGCTCCTTGGCCCCCAGTCCAGCACGCGCGCTGATGCTCTGAGCCTCGCGGGAGCCCTGGTCGCAGCCGTTGGGCATCCACAGCCCGCTCCGCTCTCCACACAAGTGCTTCTCGAGCCTCCTGCCCGGCCATGTCGTCCTGCAGCCGCGTGGCCTTCGTGACCGGAGCCAACAAGGGCATAGGCTTCCCCATCGCGCGGCGCGGGGCCGGGCGGCGGGGCAGCAGCGGCAGGCCGAGGGCCTGAGTCCGCGCTTCCAGCAGCTGGACATCGACGACCTGCAGAGCATCCGCGCCCTGCGCGACTTCCTGCGCAAGGAGTACGGGGGCCTCAACGTGCTGGTCAACAACGCGGCTATTGGTTTCACGGGTAAGAGGCTGGGTGGTTGCAGCCGGGGAGGGAGGGCACCCCAGCACCTCCAGCCAGGGTGGCTGGTATGTCAGGGAATCGGTACAATGGGGCTCCCTGCACGTAGGGGTGCTTGATGGCTCCGAGGAGGGTAGGAGGGGCAGGGGGCAGGGGGCAGGGGTGCCACTAGACTAGATCAAAGTGCAAGAGAAGCTGGAGCGCTTTGTGGCCCAAGCACCTGTGTGTTCTTGGCTCAGATGCCTGGGAGTCTTCTCTAGGTTGTCACCGTTTCTTCCGGTTTAGCCTTGAGGGCATTTGAGTGAATGTTGAATGGGTTTTTAAATAAACAAGAACATTGCACACACGGGTTCACGGAGACATCGTGCACCTTCACCAGCCTCGGGGAATGGCACCATCTCAGACACTATAGAACATCAGGGAACAAAAGGTCATGCACTATCACATCATTTCTATCTATATATACATATATATATTTCACGTGAGAAACATTCAAATCTATGAGGAATTTTCGTGAGATCATGCTCCGGAGAATGGCGGTTTTGCACTTGTTTGGTACATTACAATCAAAAGAGGAGACATAAGTGCTATAGGGTCTTGGGCCCGTGACTAGGGGATTTGGGCTGTGAAAGAATTCACAACTGTGAGAAGAGATAGATTCAGAGAGAGAGTTTATTTCACTTCCCAGAGGGAAAGCGCCAGTGCAT